CTTTCCTGAGAAGCTAGAAGACGTAGATTTGACTTCTACACACTAAGCAGGATCTAGAAGTCAACATCTGTCATTTCTGGGCATGTACTCTGAAATTTTGGCTGTTACTTACAACTGAGATTAGATTCCCTGTGCTCACCATCTGTTTCATCCTTTGGAATAACAGGAGCTATAGTGGGTCACACCAAAGACCCCAGCAGATCAGTATCCTGTCCCTGATGGAACCAAAGCAGATGCCCCGAGCAGAAGACAAAACAGAGACCAAGCATACAGTGCTTCCCCAAGGATCAGCTGTGCCATTTTTCCAGATTGTACATCACAGCTCAAGGAACTTGAATTACTGTACGGACTAATAGAGCATGATTGCCCTCATTTCACATTGTTCTCATTGGCAAGCACCACCCATGTTTACAATTTTCTTACCCATCAGGTAATACTTCCTTACAGTGCATTGCAGAGTTGGAACCCTTTCAGGATCATCTACAAACACATCATGACTGGTGAAAAGTAGGCAGATGAAGTCCCTCCACTAAATCCTAGAATTAAAGGGTTCTTCACCCTTGACAGGAAATAGTTAAAACTCCGTATTGGCTTTGTGTGGCAAGGTTTTGGTAGTGGAGGGGTTACAGGGGTGGCTTCTGTGAGAAGCTGCTGGAAGCTTCCCCTGTGTCCAACAGAGCCAATACCAGCCAGCTCTAAGACGGACCCACCACTGGCCAAGGCCGAGCCAATCAACGATAGTGGTAACGCCTCTGTGATAACATATTTAAGAAGGAAAAAAAAGGTGTGGGACAGACAGAAACAGCAGCCGGAGAGAGGCATAAGAACATGTAAGAGAAACAACCCTGTGGACACCAAGGTCAGTGAAGAAGGAGGGGGAGGAGATGCTCCAGGTGCCAGAGCAGAGATTCCCCTGCAGCCCATGAGGAAGACCATGGTGAGGCAGGTTGTCCCCCTGCTGCCCATGGAGGTCCACAGTGCAGCAGATATCCACCTGCAGCAAATGGAGGACCCCACGCTGGAGCAGGTGGGATCCTGAAGGAGGCTGTGACCCTGTGGGAAGCCTGTGCTGGAGCAGGTTCCTGGCAGGACCTGCAGATCCGTGGAGAGAGGAGCCCACAGAGCAGGTTTTCTGGCAGGACTTGTGACCCCATGGGGGACCCACGCTGGAGCAGTGTGCTCCTGAAGGACTGCACGCTGTGGAACGGACCCATGCTGGAGCAGTTCGTGAAGAACTGCAGCCTGTGGGAAGGACCCACGTTGGAGAAGTTCGTGGAGGACTGTCTCCCGTGGGAAGGACCCCACGCTGGAGCAGGGGAAGAGTGTGATGAGTCCTGCCCCTGAGGAGGATGAAGTGGCAGAAATAATGTGTGATGAACTGACTGTAAACCCCATTCCCCGTCCCCCTGCACCGCTGGAGGGGTAGGTAGAGAATCCGGGAGTGAAGTTGTGCCCAGGAAGAAGGGAGGGGTGGAGGGAAGGTGTTCTGAGATTTGGTTTTATTTCTCATTACCCTACTCTGGTTGATTGGTAATAAATTGAGTTAATTTTCCCCAAGTTGAGTCTGTTTTGCCTGAAACAGTAATTGGTGAGTGATCTCTCCTGTCCTTATCTCAACCCACAAGCCCTGTGTTATATTTTCTCTCCCCTGTCCAGCTGAGGAGGGGGGAGTGATAGAACGGCTTTGGTGGGCACCTGGCATTCAGCCAGGGTCAACCCACCGCAAACTCCAGGGTAACTTAATTGAAAGGGTAATTCAGTCTCAGGAGCTGGCCAGTTCTTGGCTTAGATCTTGGCTTAGTATCTTGGTTAAGATACACATTCTTTAGGCTCTACAGAGGCTGCCAAGAGGAACACCAAAACAAAAGCAATTCTCCCTGGTGTGGGATTCCTCTGAACTAAGGGTGCATTTCACCTGACTCAGGGGACAAGCACCGATGTTTGATCGCTATTCCACCAAGTGAGACTCAGGTTAACTTAACCTTACCAGTCATTAGGGGAGCATGTGTTTGGCAGAGGCCAGAGTTGCTTTTTATTTTTTTCCCCTCTAAAAGACAGTTTTATAATTTGCAGAGGACTAAGAGGGAAACCCTCCACCACACTGCTGAATCACAAGCTAGCTCTTGCTACCTAGTCAATTCTTTCAAAACTATTGCACCTGCTATCTGTTCATTACTTTATTACTTCTGGTTGGATGGGGAAAAACCACATCATAAATCCTGTGTATAAATCACTCCACTAGAATAACAGGAGAGAAAATAGGACAGAGGGAATTAATTTGGCCCATCCCTCTGCTCAGCACTAAGCACTACCTCAAACATAATTTTTTAAGAGGTTATAAAAACAAGTAACAATCTTTTAGCCTTTCTAGGGAGTAGAATCAGCTTTTTCTTAATATCCAGCTGCTGCAATTTCAGTACACTACCATTTGCTCTGTTCCAGTATGGCAAGTAGCTTATGCCTTTTCTATCAGAAGACAACTTCATACATTTGAAAATAGCTACCATGTCTTCCCTTAACCTTTCACACTCTTTTTGCCTTTATAGGTAAATATTTCTAAACACCAGTCAGTCACCTTTTTGTCCTCTAGACTTTCTTCATTTGGTCTGCCTGTTCCTTCAAATGTGCTGCCACAGGCTGGTACTGAAGCTTTTCCAATATCAGGGAAAATGCAAGGATCTTTTCACTCCAAAAAGTATTCTGTTAACATAGTTATTTTTTTTCCACAGCTGCATGAGGTTGTTCAGGCATGGTCAGCTTTTGATCCTCTAATGTCTGGATTCTTTTTCTAAGAAACAGCTACACAGACCCTTTTTGTATGCAATTTATTAGTTTCCAGCTCAAAAACTTCTCTCCAGTATACTTCTTTAAAGTTTTCTACTTGACTTCAAACTTTCTACCCTATTGTTTTCCTCCATCACTTCAATTCCCTCTCACTTCTGTCCTTCCTCTCTTATCTGATGGACCTAACAGACAAAAAGAGAAGACACAAGAACTTTGAGATCATATAAAAAAAATATTTTATGTTAGCTTCTTAAGACAGTCTGAAGGCATTAACCACCTAAATCACCTACTTAAAGTCTACCTTACACTCCTCTTTCTATTTTGAATGCTTGTTCTAAAATAATCCAATATTAAAAATGTAAGTTCTCACATTTTTGATGCCAGTTTCGCATCTATTTAGAATTTGGAGATCTCAAACAGCAGCAAGAATGTGTTTTTCTAACAGCCTTTTTTGCAACACATTTCCTGAAAAGATCTGTTTTAGCATTTTGTTTCATTGCAACTAATTAGCCAAACTACATGCAAGTCTAGAGAAAACTAATTCCATATTCAGAAAGGTCAGGAATTTGAGGCTGATAGGCTGCACTCTGTAGACATGGGAAGACATTTGAATTCTATTACAAATAAGTGTTTTGAATTGTACTATAAATGTAACACTCAGGCTCAACTTTAACTGCAATGCAAAAAGATGGACACCTCCACAGAGAGCACGCCTCAGGGGAAAACAACTCTGCCAACTGATAGAATAGGAAAAGAGAAGAGAGAAAAAAAGAGACACTGAAATAAATTCTTGCCCCAGACAAAACAGCAGAATTAGAACACAGCCTTTGCACAGATCAGCATTCAAGGCATTACTAAGTGCTAAATGTTTAGTGCTTACTGGTAATTTACAGTTTAAATGTCTACTAGTAACTTTTAAAATCATTCCTATGTAAGGAGAAAGGTGGTTTTAAATTCCACCTGGCTCATTTACTAACGTCTGATCAGTCACAAGGAGAATGATATTTAAACGGGCAACTTAAGACAGGATGCTGTGCTGTTGGTACCCAGTTTGTGGCTAGTTATGAACAGAAGTTGCACACTGCTACCAGTTCATAAATCTGGGCAGGAAATCTGTTACATTAAATAGAGAAGAACAGACTCTGAGAACTATTCAAGAGAAATCTAAAGAACAGGAGTGCCTTAACAACCCACAATAGAAGTTCAGAAACTCTTAAGCAAAAATAATGCTTACAGGGAAACCAGGAAGACTATTTTTCACTGACATAACTTCTGAACACTTACTGCAATGATGTAATTATCCTAGCAATAATACAGACAAACCCCCACAGTTTTTGAAACATGAGAATGCATGAATACAGGCTTCATATTCTACAGTTAAAAAAAAAATTAAAAAGTTATTATGGGTCCTAGGAAAGCAAAAGAATACAAGTATTTTAATTCGGTTCATTACTTTTGCAGGTTTTTTTTTACAAAATCTGGTAAAAAAGTATATGTCTTAAAGGCAGCAAAAAGAAAAATCAGAAATAATTTGAAGTAACAGGATTAAACAATTTCCTTCAAGGCTAGTGCTTAGTATAATGTCCCTCATGCACTTAGGGACAAAAGAATTAAATTTCAAGTCCGTCAGTCTCCAGATTTGCAGGAGAGAGGTATAATGTCAAGTGAATTAAAGATGATGGATGATTTGATGGATTCAAAGGGAGCAATCAGAGTCTTCAGGACACAGACAGATCTGGCAGTTGCAGAATGAGGATTGGCAGCCTAAAATGCAAGGAAGAGGAAAACCAACCCCCAAATACCAATGCTCTGGAAATAAAGGCACATATAACCAAGTGCTCACTTTGGGTCCCAGTGAGCAAGACAAATGAATAACAACATTTTTAAATGATTTTAGAAGTCAAACTTTCATTTACTATCAATAGCACTAAGTGATTTCCACTTTGCTAAATATGCATGTCCCACATTTAACATGGACTTCTTCCAGATACACAAAACAGCCCTGCAATAAAACATGCTAAAATTGATTAGAAGATAAAGAAAGAGAAGCTGGTCAAAGTCTGGTATAGATCAGATCAGGCAGACAAAGAGAGCAAAATGTATTCTCAGTATGAATCAATCATACAAAAAAAACCCAGAGGACTTGGTGCTAATGGAGAGGTTTAGCTCCTCAGACATCTTTTGAGATAGACAGAAAATACTTTTCATTTTCTTACCTGGGGGAATTTGCGTTTGATAGATGTCAATGCTCCTTCTGGGAGTTTGGCAAGTTCTGAATCTCTGACTGCATGTACTGTTGTGGCTCTAGGTTGACGGGTTAATGCCTCTACCTGAAAGAGTATATAGCGAAAACATTAAAGATAATTCACAACATGTTGCAAAAATCAAATGTCAGGATGAAGAAAATGAACAATTCCCAAGAACCGGACTGTCATACTTGTTGCTTACACACATTCAAAACAGAATGCTGTTTTCCCCCAAGAGTGCTCACAGAGGGAGTTTGCTGAAGGCACATCCATCTGCAAGAAGTATTAGCATCTATTTAATCCAAATATCTCAGGCACACACTCTGCTATCAGACAGTTGCAGGTTTTCATAGAACTAGAACCCATAGCAGCAGACAGACAGCATCACAAGAGAAAGTTTTGCCTGAGCTTTTGCAAAACTACTCTTTCTTCTTTCCTCAATGCTACCCTGAAATTACTTTCATTTTACTTTCAGAAGCTGAATACTGACAACCTTGAAATAATCAAGACTTCCTAAAAATGAAAGAAAGGGACGAGGAGCAAATTAGCACATTTTGGCCAGAAGTGAGCTTTGCTTTTCCCGTTGTTGTTGTGTTGGTCTGAGTGTTGGTTTTTTTTACGTATGCATGTGTATCTGTGCTACGTAAACAGGAAAACGTGACAGTACACACCTACCTGAATAGTGCCCCATTATTTCACCTAGAAACATTTATTTTATTGAGAGTAGAAGTTTAAAGAAGAAAATGATCATGCAATAAAAATTAATACAGAGATACTCTCCTTTACAGGGAGAAGCTGACACAATATAAACAAAACCAAGTTCTAAAAGCCTACTCTGCAAAATGCAGCTGTTCCCCGAATCCCCAACTGCACCATCTGCAGAGCGTGGACCCACTACCAGCTCTTATTTTGTTCTGAAATGCAGAAATCAAATTCCCTAGTGAAATATCTTCACACGCTTAATGAGATAGCCTGCCAGGCGAGATGGCATCATTCAGAGCTCAGGCGTGAGCTACAACATTTAATTGCTTAGAAACAGCCTGGTGTTCAGTTTTGCAATTTTAGCAACAGGCAATGTTTACTGGGTTTAAAATCCATAGATCAGTTGTTTCGAAAAAAATGGTTGTCACTGTAGTAGCTGTAATTACTAAGGTTAAAACACAAACAAAAAAATTCCTCACTAACTGCAATTCACAGACAGAATAAAAGTGAACATGACTTTTCATTTTAAGTTTTCCAGTAGAAAAAGAAACAAATAATCTATCAGCTTATAATTGTTCGGTTTGGGTTGGGGGGTTTGATGGCTTTTTCTGTTTGTTTGATTTGGGTTGTGTTTTTTTTCAGAATTTGTTCCAAAGCCTATGTTTACAGCAAATTCCAACACAAGCAATGCTTTCATTACAGAACTAGGGGATCAGACACACAAAAAGTTAATGCAATGTGTATAATGCCCTGTACAATGGCTAAGCTCTGCAAGGCATGTACTTCTGCCCACAGTAGAAGAAAATTAATTTAAAACGTGCAACTCCATGACCCCACTTTCAACACGAGTGCATTCCTGGAAGACAACATGTGCACAAAATGGACAATTCAGACAGCCAGCACATCTAGATCTCAAAAACTTGCAGTTAGTCCAGAAAGCTGAGATCAGCCTGCTAATATTAACTCTAGCTAGTGCAGAAGAGTTTAATCAACACCAACTGCTATGCATGAAAAACTGCACAAGTAAATTTAAAGTCACTACGTTTTGCAAGACCTAGCCTTTGTTTTTTATTCAGATACCAGGGATGTTTTGTTATGTAATCACATTTTAAACTAATCATATAGAAGGGGAAAAAAAGGTCATGCCATCTTTGTACACACATTTATGGAGAAACAAGTCCCCTTGAGGTTCCCCAAATGGTTGTATAACATCTTCTGTTTATCTCTCTCCCCTATTACCAGCTTTTTATCACAGTTTTTGGCTCCATAATTTAGCTTCCTTATCCTGAAAGCAGGTTAAGAGTTTCAATTGTTAAAATAAAACCTTTCCTCTCAGCCAGTCATCACCCAATTGAGTTTAATTTCTATAAAGAAGAAAAACCCTCAAAGTGTCTAACATCCTTTTCTACTCTTTTTGTGATATATGAGTGCATAAAATTAACTGTGCTCCAAAGGGCTCACAAGTCTTTCAGAAAAGATGGGATTTGTAAAAAAGGGAATTAAATTTTAACTTTAAAACAAAGCCTCAGGGTTTTTTTTTTTCTCCCCCAACTGTGACTTTGTCTTTTCTAATTGTTCTAATTGTTGTGTCTTGTCTAATTGTTTCTAATCAGAGAGGAGATGAAGACCTTTGTCAAACCTCCTCCACAAGGAGCCATTCAAATCTCTGGAGCAAGTGGCATTTGCAACACCACCAGTGTTACAGACCCCTGCAATTGCAGGGAATTTGTTGAATGTAATTCCCAACAGATTACAGAAATTGGATCTTGTATTACTCTTACATGCAGGTACTATGTAAGTCTTGCTATTAGCTTCAATATTTTCATGCAAATACACCCTGGTATTCTAGCATGGAAAATATCTGGGTCCCAGACACTGTATACCAAGAAACTGAAATTTTGCTTTCCACTTGGATATTATCATCTCAGTTCCCAATCTCCATTTTTATTAGTTATTCCAAACTGTTAATAAAATACTTCCTCTTCACCGGAAGTGAGAGGGCTCTTATTCAACATTTGGACCATCTGCAGAATTATTCTCAACCTTCACTACATTCTCACCTCTCCCCTCTTTACACTCTGTGCTTATAAAGCCTTCTTTGCACCAGTTTTAGATTTTCTGCACATGGGAATCTGCCAAATCAAACAGGTATTTGGCTGTTCTCACTTTTTTTTGGACATCAAACACATAGTCTAACATTGAGGTGTAGTTCTCCCCTGTAAATTATACTTTTCTTCTTTGTATTTATTCTTAATAAACCATTTGAGATATCATCTACTCAGACTTTTTTCTTCTTATTTAGAAAGAAAAGAAGTTTCATGCAACATGAGTACTTAAAATCATTTCAGTCTTAAGCCACGTTCAAATCCTTGGGCTCTTCTGGCCAGTGAACCTTTTGAACAAGTTTTCTTATTTTTCCAGGTTTGTAAATACTACAAGACTTAGAGATCTAGCTTGAACTTTAATATGAGTAAGACCCACCTGCGATCAGAAGATCAACCCCGTAAGATTATTCCCTTGGTCATAAAAAAGACATTTAACATTTTGATCACCCACCACGGCTGCAGCAAACACCACAAAGACACCTCCATAATAACATTAATAAACAAACATTTCAAGAAATAGTATTATTATTATTTTCCAAACCTTATTCAACCTGACTGGGAGGCAGCATATATTTGTATATATAATCATCCAAGGCTCTCTTTTGAGCTCCTTCCCAGACTACCATTATCATCATTTACCCAGCATGAACACAGCTACAACTTTTGCTCCAGTGCAAGAAAGAATCAGTGGACTCTTTCCCACTTCTTTTCAAATTCAAGTCAACACGATATATTCTGCTTGAGGCAATAGTACACCTCTGGTTCTTCTCCCATAACATCCATTCCTTCTCCTTAGTAACAAGCCTCTAAACAAGTTCTGCCTCACTGCCCATTTCTGGTCTTTTTCCATTTTTAATTCACCCATATGCCATCCTTGCTCTTCCTCTCTCTCTCAAGCCACCCTCCAGTTTTCCTAGAGTTCACCGAATGCTTGAGCCCATCACCTCTCCTGCTCTATCTGGACTGGCTATTCTTCTCTTTGCCATCTTGTTATCTAGTGTTGTTCACTCTTCCTTCATGTTGTAAGCTCAGCAAATGTACATTATAGTGCTATTTCCACTTTGAAATCCATCGCTCTTTGAAATCCAACTGCTATGCCTTATTTTAGCAGCCATGAAAAAATGCTAAACGTTCCATTCATTCCTCACCTGTCTCCAAGGTCTACCCTTTGGCTCCTCATTTACAGCAAGCATCAACATCTCCTCCCTACCTCCATCCATCACACCCTCAAGAATCTGTCCATCCATTACTGCCTTTACTTCCGTTTCCTCTAAGAGCTGCATGAAGCAATGCCTCAAATGCTGTAAGAATTTGCATCAAGGAGCACATCTCAATTTAGAGTGTTATATACTCTGTGGTTCTTGTAACTGATCATGAATATTACCGTAGATGATGATCCCTCCTGCACTGTTGCAGTTCATTGTTCCTAACACCAACAAAAATAAATAAAAAAAAAAAAACAAAAACCCAAAACAAACAAATAACAAACCCCTAAACCCAACTATAAATAGTACTTTGCTCTTTTTACTGTTTCGGTTAATTCTGACAGCTAGGTTTCTGGTATCTTCTCTTAGTTCAGTATTAGAATAGTGACAAAAATCATGTATGATGCATCCACCACATACAATGCACATGATTCACAACCCTGGCTTCCAAGTTCTTTACAAAGAAAAAGTGCTATTGTAAATCTTTTAAAAGGAGGGGGAAAAGCAATTTATATTCTCATGACCTCTTTTGACTTCATTTTCAACAGTCATCCCTGACAGTTCTTCTTACAGCTTTCCAAATTACACAGTTGGAAAGTAAAAACTAGCAAGTGTTGTCTTCTGCAAGTTGGTCTAATTACTCCAAATTCCTTTTTGAGCTACATCCAACAAAGCACTTTGAATATTTGCTTAATTTTAAGTGTGTGCATAGCCCCAGTGCAATAAGCACAGCTATTCTCATGCTTAGAGCATCTCTGAGACTTCATGGAGGACTTGACCAGAACTGGGGCTGTTTTATGTTAGTCTATCTGCTGGCAATAAAATGTTGCTGCTCCGTACAAATTCAGCCTCACTTTGACAAATGACTGGGTGACTTTTCTAATAGTCAGCAAATAGTAAAATGCAAAAAATTTGAAAATAGTTTCTTGTGTAGATTATTTCTTTTCAAGTGAGTTTTCAAGCATGTCTAGTGCAAGAGTAGACAGGTCCAGTCCAAATGAGCAATGGAAGTCAACAGGACCATGTTTATAGTCACAGGTCCATTCTCACCAACCTTCAACCAGTAGCACAT